TGAATTTTATGTACGTAAAAAATAGTAGATATTTTCTTGAATAATAGATGACTCTGTCAGGTCTGGAACTCATTGACTTTGTATCTTTCGGTACAGAAGACTCCACAAGGTGAAATCTAGAGGAGTTGTTTGTGAAAAATAAAATGAAAGGAAGAAAGAAAGATTTCTTGTTAGAAAAAGCAAAGGGAAAAAAAAAGTCTTCAAAGCTACCTCCAAATATCATAGAGAAAGAAAAGAATCAATTTCAGAATGAGGTTATGAGGCAGTAATAGCTCCTGCTGCGCACAGAGTTAAAATTTTCTTGGGAACTTGGTGTGGATGGAGAGAGAGAGAGGGAGAAATGAGAAAGCAAGTTTATGAAGCAGGCTTGGAGAACTGCCTGGTTAAAACATAAAGTGCCCTGTTCAGAAGGGTAATAGAAATGAAGAGATTTTAAAAGATGTGAGACATTGAAAGTGTGGACTCAAACAGGTACGGGTACCCTGACACTTCTCTCTGTGTGATGGAAATGCAAAGATTACTCAGAGCCCAAATACTGAGAACAATGAGAAGCCTGAAGGGGCTGCACCAAGAAAGACTCCCTCAAGAAGGGAGAAACATGGTGCAGCCCCTGTCAGTATTTGCTTCAGCTTTTATTGTAAAAACAAGGAAATACAAGAGAAAAAACAACTTAATCAAAGGAATGAAAAGAAATTGAAGGCCTGCCCATGGCTCACTCGGTAGAGTGCGGTGCTGATAACACCAAGGCCGTGGGTTCGGATCCTATATAGGGATGGCCGGTTTGCTCACTGGCTGAGCGTGGTGCTGACAACACCAAGCCAAGGGTTGAGATCCCCTTACCGGTCATCTTTAAAAAAATAAATAAATAAAAGACCTATTAAAAATGGGCCGGCCTGTGGCTCACTCGGGAGAGTGCGGTGCTGATAACACCAAGGCCATGGGTTCGGATCCCATATAGGGATGGCCGGTTAGCTCACTGGCTGAGCATGGTGCTGACAACACCAAGTCAAGGGTTAAGATCCCCTTACCGGTCATCTTTAAAAAAAAAAAAAAAAAAAAAGAAATTGGTTATGGGGCAATCTCTGGAAAGCATCTTGAGAAACAAAGGAAAGGGAGTGAAGCTGGATAAGAAATGACTTTAATGTCCTTAACTAATCCAGCAGAACATCCTTGAAGATCTTTGCTGTGCTAAGGGCTTTTGCCCTTTGAACAATCCCTGTTCTGCCTCAGCTCTCTTACCTGCACTAAGGGCTTTCGACCTGTGTAAGTTCCCTGGTCTTTCTCAGTCTTAACATTCCTACACTCCTCCGCACTACCCCAATGTTCACAGCGGCACTATTCACAGGAGCCAAAAGATGGGAACAACCCAAGTGTCCATCAACAGGCGAATGGATAAACAAAATATGGTACATCCATACAATGGAATGTTGTTCAGCCTTAAAAGGGATGAAGTGTGGACACATGCTGCAACATCAACTGACCTTGAACACATTATGCTAAGTGAAACAAGCCAGACAAGAAAGGACAAATATTGTATAATTCCATTCATATGAGGCATTTAGATTAGGCAAATTTATAGGGACAGAAAGTAGAATAATGATTACCTTTAATCATTAAAAGGTAGGGGCTGGAAGAAGTGGATGTGAGGAGTTATTGTTTAACAGGTGCAGAATTTCTACTTGGGATGATGAAAAAGTTCTGGAGATGGATGGTGGTGCTGGTTGCACAACATTGTAAATTTACTTAATGCCACTGAACTGTACAATTAAAAATGGTTAAAATGATAAATTTTGTGTATGTATATTTTACAATAAAATAAAAAATGTTAGGAAAAAAAAAGATGTGAGATGCAGACAAGCAGAGTCTCAGTGACTGTGATCACCATTGTTGCTAATTCCCAATTTTGTAAGAAGGCAGAGTGTTTAAAATGACAAAGTGAGGAGACCTTAAGCATAGGTGGATTTCTCCCACTTTATATATTAAAGAGTACTGTATTAGTCACGGTTCTCCAGAGACACAGAATCAATAGGATATGTTATAATTACATGAGAGGGATTTATTAGGGGAATTAGCTCACGTGGCTATGAAGAAAAGTCCCACAATAGGTCGTCTATAAACTGGATGCTGGTAGCATGGCTCAGTCCAAGTCCAAAGGCCTCAGAACCAGGGAAGCTGATGGTGTCCTTGGTGTAAGTTCTGGAACCCAAAAGCTAAAGAGCCTCGAGCTGTGATGTCCATGGACAGGAGAGTGTACCCCAGCTCCAGTGGATCGAGAGAGAGCGGTCACCTCTTCCCTCTCTCTTTTGTTCTCTCTGGACCCCCAGCGGACTGGACGGTTCCCACCCACACTGAGGGCGGGTCTTTCCCACCCAGGCCACTCAGACTCTGATGCTAATCTCTGCTGGAAACACCCTCATGGACACACCTGAAAAGACAGCTTTACCAGGTTTCTCAGCATTGCTTCTCCTAACCAAGTTGACATCTAGAATTAACCTTCACAGGTACCCCATTTAACCTCTTGATGCCCACTCTGAATTCTGTATTACTACCACCACCTGCCTGGCATTGTAATGAGACTGAAACCAAGGTGGTTTTTTCTACACATTTTCTGTGTTTCCTCTAGATACCATTTTACTGCTATAATTTTTTTTTTTTTCTTTTTTGGCAGCTGGCTAATATGGGGATCTGAATCCTTGACCTCGGTGTTATAACACCAGGCTCTAATCAACTGAGCTAAGCATCAGCCCTGCTATGAATTTTAAGTGGCTATAAAAGTTCACACCTGGTCTGACCTATATACCCTAGGTCCTACAAACATAATTCATTTAGGATAACTGCTAAAATTTTGGAGGTTTGCTTTTGTATTTAGAAATTTGAAGATAATTAGTTGGTGTTGTGATAATCTTCAGTGTTCTGTAAATCATTCGTGCTTTTTAGAAAGAGAGCTTAAGTTGGGATTAATTTACCTCAGATCCTGGAGGAGCCATAACCTTGAAAAATAGCCTTTGCCTGGAAATCTTCAGACTGGGTGTACGTACACCAAGGCTTCCCAAAGGATGCGTAGTGGCAATAAATACATATTCTTTCTATCATCATGTAAGTTCCCTTTTCCTTTCCATGTTAGCTCTTCCGCACATGAGTATTACAAAGGAAAAACATACCTGAAACTGACTATGTCTTAGGATGGAAAAAGCTCCATGGTGCAGAAGGGCTATTTGAAATATTTTTAGAGAAGCCTCCTGTAATGGTTAGTCAAGACATCAGAAGTCTCCATTCCACTGAGTTGCCTGTACATTTCCTTTTCAGAAAGCATAAATTTCCATTTAAGTATTAAAAGTGGAGGTTTTTGGCTCTCGTAGGGGTTTTGTAAGGTCAACCTTGCTTTAATACAATGACCCCGCTTATTCTGTACCCTACTTATTGTCAAAGAATGCTTTGATCTGGACTCTAAAGTCTAAAGAGTCTGGTAAGGGTAAAGAGAGGCTTGTTGAGAAATATTGAATGCTAAAAGTGGCCTTTTTCATGATTTAATCGTAGGTAGTTCTTTTCTGCTATTCTCAATACTCATCATCAGGATGCGTCAGTGTTTGGAAGGAAAAATTACATTTGAATAGCTGAAATTGTACAGATTAGTGACACTGAAACTTTTAAATATACTGGGAAATTTCTGGTATTCCCAAAATTTTCAAATTGCACTAGATAAAACAGATACAAATATTGCACAATTCCTTTTAGATTCAGTGTGCATTATTCAATAATTAATTAAAGCTTATTTTATCAATCATATCATGAAATATTTATGCCAATCGCAGTCCATCTTATTTCACCTTTTCTAACATTTATTATTTCCAACCTCCAATAACAAAAAATAAAATTATATGCTAGCTGCTGGACCAATTAGCCTTTGGAAATATTTATCTTTCTTGAGCTGACCAGTCAGCTCAGTTGGTTACAGTGTGGAGCTGATGACATCAAAGTCTGGGTTCAATCATTGTCCCGGCCAGCAAAAAAAAAAAAAAACAGCAAAAAAAAAAAAAAAAAAAAATATGTATATATATCTTTTTTTCATTGAAAAGGAGAAATTTTGGTTGTTTACCAGAATTAATAGAACTATTTCTAAATTTTTATATATTTTTATATATATTCCATTTAATTATTTCCTAAACCAAATTCATTCTATTTCCAAACCAGAATCCCTTGTATTTATTTCTTGCTTCATATGAAACATAATTTCAGCTATGTTTTATATAAATTAGGTAATGAGAAATTTTTTATAGTCTTATAAAAATGGGTAAAATTATTATATTTGAGCTTCCATAACTTAAACTTGACTTCTCTAGCAACAGGGTCATGAAAGATGCATTTAGGAGTTCTGTGTTCGGGGTTTTTTTTTTTTTTCCAAAATACATTATTAATAGGGTTATGTGAATAGAAAAGTTAGAGTTTTTCTGGCCCAGTAGGTCTGGTTTGACTGACTGGCTTGACAGCAAGGATGACTTTGTAGTTGGTTAGGTCACATCGCAGCCATCGTCACAGCGAACTGAAGCAAGACCAGAAGGGAACGGCGCTGTCCCACCCAGCGACCCCTCGGCCCGGTCCTGCACAGCCCGCGTCCTCAGCTCCGGCAAGTTCTTCCCCGGTGGGGCAGCCCGACATGCCGGGTCCACGTTCGGTCCCGGGCAGGACGAAGGCCGTCTCGGGCGGCTGCCCCCTCCATCTGTGCTCCGGGCTGTCGCAGCCCCTGCTCGCGGCCAGGGCTGAGCACGTCTCCCCTGCGAGGCGACCCGGTCTACACTGGGGAGCAACGCTCCGGCCGAGCCGCAGGGCACGATCCCGTCTTACCATCGATAAGGCCGGTCGTCTTACCCTTGTCCGAGTCCCGGGATACTTGCTTCTCAGTTAAGAGCTCTGCACGGAGGGGGTGCCAGTGACTTCAAACCAGGGACAGGTCGGACGGGGTGAGCACGAGGGGACCGAGGGCTGTTGCGAATGATTCTCACGGTTCAGGCTGTCGCGATGATGGGGCAGTGTTGTCACAAGACAAACACTCGTGAGGACTCTCGTTCGACACTTTAACTTCGAAACGTCCGAGATGTCCCAGTGGCAGTTCGGGGGAGTAGCGCGACAAAGCGGCCAGGACGTGGACAGCTTCGGTGCCGAAGACATAGAGCATCTACTCGACTGTGACTAACAGCGAGAGCGACCTCGCTGCTCGTCACAGGCCGGCGCCTTCTGCCTCCTGTGCCTTGGATGACATTCCTGATACTCTTGTAACTGGGACAGTCTCTTGCCAACCCTCTTACACAGGGTTGTGACGAGTCACGGGAAAGAGAAAAGGGTGAGTCGTCGTTCTCTGAGTAAACCGACGCGGGGCTGTAGAGCCTGACGCCGCGGCGGGTCCCCTGCACCCCGCACCGCTGTCCTGACGCCGCGGCGGGTCCCCTGCGCCCCGCACCGCTGTCCTTACGCCGCGGCGGGTCCCCTGCACCCCGCACCGCTGTCCTGACGCCGCGGCGGGTCCCCTGCGCCCCGCACCGCTGTCCTTACGCCGCGGCGGGTCCCCTGCACCCCGCACCGCTGTCCTGACGCCGCGGCGGGTCCCCTGCGCCCCGCACCGCTGTCCTTACGCCGCGGCGGGTCCCCTGCACCCCGCACCGCTGTCCTGACGCCGCGGCGGGTCCCCTGCGCCCCGCACCGCTGTCCTTACGCCGCGGCGGGTCCCCTGCACCCCGCTCTGTTCTCCTCGCAACTTTCTTTCTTCCTCCTTCCTCCCCCCCAGCGGCTGGCCGGAATGGGGATCCGAACCTTTGACCTTGGTGTTACAAGGCTGCGCTCCAACCAACCGAGCCAACCGGTCAGGCCCTCGCGTGCTGCCTTCTGCGCAAGTGCAGTTAAAAAAAAAAAAATGCAGCCAAGGCTGCTTTCTCGTACTCGTTTATCTTACCTGCTTATGAGCTTACGTGTATACCTCGGTCTCCCCCTGTCAGAGTGTGAACTTCGGTGCAGGGCAGGAATTCCACTTTATTCACGCCGTACACCAGCACCTAGAAAAGGGACCTGCTCATAGTAGACACTGAACAACTATTTATTGGCTTGCAGGCTAACAGCGTCTGCCCAGTTCTATTAATCCTCAAAGATCACAGGTCTTTCTGATTTTTCTAAAGTTTTCTGATTGCTAATACTACAAATAAATAACCTTTTGAAGACTTTTAGACATCTTTCACTAAATGTGGTCTTTTTTTTTTTTTTTAAAGATGACCGGTAAGGGGATCTTAACCCTTGACTTGGTGTTGTCAGCACCACGCTCAGCCAGTGAGCAAACCGTCCATCGCTATATGGGATCCGAACTCGTGGCCCTGGTGCTATCAGCACCGCACTCTCCCGAGTGAGCCACAGGCCGGCCCCGTTACATTCTGATTGTGAGACTAATCCCAGTTAAAGTCCTCTATCTTTCTTTTAATTTAAGTCTTTAAGTTCCTGCATGTCTTCTTTCCTTTCAGATACGTAATTACCCTTAAGCCCCTTGGTCTCCTGACCCTGGCTGTAAAAAGTAAAACAAAGTTGAATGTAGTCATATTCTGCTTCTTAGGGTTCCACTGGTTTACAGCCGTACCACCCTGAACGAGCCTGATCCCGTCTTAGGGTCACACCAAAGACCGGGAGATGTATTTGGAACTAGGAAGAAACTGAAGATTATGTCCTCACATGCTTTCACTTGACATAGGAAAGCATATTCAGTGACTTCCTCACAGATGACTCTTGTCTGTTCGTAATCATGGCATCACATACTACAGCAAGTTTTGGCAACCAAATACTGGAGGAGAAAGTAATTTCTTTCTTTTTTTTTTTTTTATTTAATTAATTATTTATTTTTTGAGGAGAAAGTAATTTCTGAGGTCTCACAGAAATATAAAACTTGGGGGCCGGCCCGTGGCTCACTTGGGAGAGTGCGGTGCTGATAACACCAAGGCCCTGGGTTCGGATCCCACATAGGGATGGCCGGTTCGCTCACTGGCTGAGCGTGGTGCTGACAACACCAAACCAAGGGTTAAGATCCCCTTACCGGTCATCTTTAAAAAAAAAAAAAAAAAAAAAAAAGAAATATAAAACTTGGCAATAGGAGCAGCATTTATTATTATTATTATTATTGTTGTTGTTGTTGCTGTTGTTGTTGCTGTTGTTGTTGTGTCCGGCCATTATGGGGGAGCAGCATTTAAATAGGTTATTTCCTTTATTCCTCCATTGTGTCATGTTTGAACAATTTTTCTTGTCATGTTGGGACGACTCCCACATGAAGATCAAAAACCCACAGTATTTAATCAAATACACACATACACAATAAAAAAAAGAAAAAAGAAAGAAAGAAAACCCCACAGGACCGCTATCATAGAATGATAGGAGGATTAGTTGTTATGCTACTATCAGAAGAATTTTTAAAACAAAGGAACAGATCACCCTTGGTGAACTGATAAAGCTAGTAGCAGGAGATTATGTCTTAGATGGTGGCACAACTGGCTTATACACAGAGGTGGACTTACTGTCATAGACTGAATTGCATCCCCCCCAATTCAAGAGTTGAAGCCCTAACTCCTGATGTGATGCTATTTGGAGGTGGATCCTTTGGAAGGTAATTAGGTTTAAATGGGGTTATGAGGATGGGGCCCTCATAATGGGATTAGTGCTCCACGGAGCTTGCTTTCTCTCTCCACCGTGTGAGGACGCAGCAAGATGTCAACGTCTGCAGGCCAGGTAGAGAGTGGTCACCAGACTAGATCTCGCTGGCATCTTGGTCTCAGACTTCCAGCTTCCAGAACTGTAAGAAGATAAATTTCTGTTGTTTAAGCCACCCCATTAACAGTGTTTTGTTCTGGCAGCCCAAGCTAGCTGAGACGGTTATGATCATGTTTGGGAAAATGCAACCAGGACCAGGCAAAGTAAACCTGGAAGTACAGGCAATTATCCAAGATAATTAATAATAGTGATAGTATAGGAATGATGGCATTCCCAGTTAGGGAAGGATGCCTTCCTACTTTCTCGGGAAGTCTATAGCACGTCCTGGGGAAAGGATCGAGGGATCACCGCTCTCCATCCGAGAACTTACCAGAGAGCTCACAATGAAGCAGGCGCTGAGGACAGAGACGGGTACCACAGCGGGGGACCACACCTGTACCCCGAGCCACCAGACTCCTTTCCCTGTCAGGTCAGCAAGATGAATGTACCCACTTAAAATCTCCACTGCCAGAGGCCCAGGGAAATCAGAGTCCCAAGGACCTTAGAAGGGTAGAGAAGTCAGCCTACGAAAACTAACTACAAAAGGAAACAATGTGAAAGCAAGAAGAGACCGTAGACATCTCCTCAGAGCAAATGACCAAATAGCAGCCTGGGGCCCAGGACACACTCACGTAAAAGTCATCCAGAGCACGTGGTACTTTCCAGTTCCTACTCTTTCCCGGGCACCCCACGGCCTTCTCGTGAGTCCATGCCTTTCTCCAATATCATTTTGTCTTTAAATTCTCACCTCTTTGTATGGTAAATGCATATTTTTTTCAAAGCCTTCTAGTCCTGAGTTGTTCTTGTTTTTGTTTTCTCCTGTCACCTTTCCCTGGTCCTAGTACGTTGGGTCCATGCCTACCTCAATACTGCAATTATCATGATGTTACGATTCTTTCATGAAAGTTGTATACTTCTCCCAAAGTCGTCCTTCCCGTCTCAATGCCTGTTTTCTTGCGCCATCATACTTCTGCGACCTTCTCTAGAACTAAGCAGCAAGTGCTCACCTGTATCTTGAGGCCGTTCTTTCGGCACTGTTGTGTGCACACACATCGCTTTGACTCCGTGTACTCAGGATGTTTAGGAGCTCTGTGTCACTCTCCCTGAAGATGTGACCCTGGAGTTCTGGTTTCACTCAAACAGGCCCAGCTCTTTGATCCTCCTGTACCCACTCTAGCAACTGTAAGAGACGTGACTCACTCTGCAGTCAGCTAAAGCTTCCAGTCTAAAATAATCTCCAGAAATAAGGAAACACAAAAAACGACATTGAGAAACACATGAAAAACTATTCACCAGTACAGGTCTGATTATGTGTTTACTTTTCTAAGTGAATTTTTTTTTTTTTTTTTTTAAAAAAGATGACCGGTAAGGGGATCTTAACCCTTGGCTTGGGGTTGTCAGCACCACGCTCAGCCAGTGAGCAAACCGGCCAGCCCTATATAGGATCCGAACCCATGGCCTTGGTGTTATCAGCACCACGCTCTACCGAGTGAGCCACGGGCCGGCCTTCTACATGAATTTTTGTTTTTTATTTGGTTCCTGTGCAGTCAGACATGCAAAGTAAATTTTTTGTATGTCCCAGGGAAATCAGTTAGTAGTCTTTAAATAAACTGTGTGCTCCCTGATGAATCTATTTTTCTTTTTCTTAGATTTTATGTAAAGTCTAATGCATGTTTTTAACATTTATCGCATTTAGGAAGAACTTAGGTTACCTCAGCCTAGAAGATGAGCAAAAGTCTCTCTGCATGAAGGATTGATATGATAAACAACAATTGCACCTAGAGACAAGAGTGCAAAGTCATTGCTGAATGGAAGATTCTTGAATCTATCTGCAAAGGCTGTTAATACACTGCTATTGAGTCAGGGCCAGGTTTGGGCTGAGGTCAGGAAAATTATATAATCTTTTTGGCTGAAAGAGAATAGTGTTCTTTTTTTTTTTTTTTTTTTTTTTTTTTTTTTTTTTTTGTGACTGGTAAGGGGATCGCAACTCTTGGCTTGGTGTCGGCTGCCCCGCGCTCAGCCAGTGAGCGCACCAGCCATCCCTATATAGGATCCGAACCTGCGGCCTCGGCGCTCCCGCGCCACTGCGCTCCCAGTGCCGCACTCTCCTGAGTGAGCCACGGGCCGGCCCCAATATGTTTTTTTTTTTTTTTTTGTGACTGGTAAGGGGATCGCAACTCTTGGCTTGGTGTCGGCTGCCCCGCGCTCAGCCAGTGAGCGCACCAGCCATCCCTATATAGGATCCGAACCTGCGGCCTCGGCGCTCCCGCGCCACTGCGCTCCCAGTGCCGCACTCTCCTGAGTGAGCCACGGGCCGGCCCCAATATGTTTTTTTTTTTTTTTTTGTGACTGGTAAGGGGATCGCAACTCTTGGCTTGGTGTCGGCTGCCCCGCGCTCAGCCAGTGAGCGCACCAGCCATCCCTATATAGGATCCGAACCTGCGGCCTCGGCGCTCCCGCGCCACTGCGCTCCCAGTGCCGCACTCTCCTGAGTGAGCCACGGGCCGGCCCCAATATGTTTTTTTTTTTTTTTTTGTGACTGGTAAGGGGATCGCAACTCTTGGCTTGGTGTCGGCTGCACCGCGCTCAGCCAGTGAGCGCACCAGCCATCCCTATATAGGATCCGAACCTGCGGCCTCGGCGCTCCCGCGCCACTGCGCTCCCAGTGCCGCACTCTCCTGAGTGAGCCACAGGGTCGGCCGAGAATAGTGTTCTAAGGCACAAGAAGCAGTAGTGCACGGTTGTGTGATGTCAAAGGTAGGCTTCCTGCATATCACAAATTTGGAGATCCTTCCTGACTTGCAGTCTCCAAACTGTGAAGCTTTCCCTCTACCAAATCATTGACACCAGTATATCCTCAGGTACGTAATCCTACATAGAGAAAATCCATTATAGCCTATGCTAATCAAACAGATGTTTAGGTTGAAGGAAGGTTACAATTAGTGATGAAATAGACACTGAGAAACAAGTAGCTTAGGTATCCCGGCATCTTCCTTAGAGGTCAACTAAAATTTAAGAATTGTAGAGGGGAGAATGGGAAAAAACAGTTTTGAGTTCACAGCCATCCACTGATGTGTTGCAGGATCCAGACCAATGAGAAAAGAGCTGTAAGCTGTAGACACGCTGAGACAGCTTCAAGTCCTCTTTGGTCTCCTGTCTGCCCGGCATCCGTAGTTGCCCTCACACCCTCCGCCCCTGCCCCTTGGGCTTCTCCCCTTTGCGTTCCTGAGTCTCGTGTTGGAGTGCAGACTATGAGGGTTTCCTGTGAATACACAACGCTGAGAAGAGAGGAGCAAAGGCAAAAACTAGAAAATAATTTAAAATAAATCAGAAAAGCAGTGAGAATAAGTCATTTTTCAGAATAAAAGCAGAACTGTGTGTAGGCCCAGGTCAGGTATGCAAATCCCAGCAGAATACTTTGAGTATGACCAGGGAGTATTGTAAAAACTACAGCTGAAGAGGACAGATCTAGATGAGAATTGGTAGATGTTTTGCTCACTTTCTATTCACCTCATTGCTGAGGGGGGTAGTCCCACCCTAGGGAGCCCCTGACACTGGACAGATGAGATTGACACAGCCTTGGGAGGAGGCCACCACACGCCATGCAGGGTCAGGTGGAGTTGGCACTTGGGAGCAGAGTGAACAGCAGAGACTGTGGGAGTCAGCATTTGTGGTAACGAGGGTGGGGTGGCCCCTGGCTCCCGAGGGAGGATGAGAGCGGCTTGTTTGAATGATGGCGCAGGCTGTCAGGGAAGGGAAACCTGCTAGTTTGAGGAGCAGGTGGAGTGCGGCTGGGCCAGCTGAGAAGGGTCTTAGCTGAGCGGGAAGCGCATGGACGAGAACAGGGGAACTGCTGATGGGGCGTTTGGGGTTCTGTATGGCTGAAGGATATCAAGACAGCACACGACGTTTTAGTCCTTATCGTCCAATAGAGCTAGGAAATACAGAGCATTTGCTGTTAGGGTGAATCAGCAGACACTTCTTTTATAAGAGACAGGACACATGAATCCACAATTTGAACTTCCCCAAATCTTCTTACCAGGGAAGCAGCGTTGACGATGCTCTTTTAACATGAACACCTGGTGTTTGAATAAGGACAGGGGATCAGCTCTTACTGTACAACTATTAACCTTAAGGCTTTAAACTTAAAGCAAATAACCATTCATTTAGTTCACAATTGCGGGGGTCAGTAATTTGGGCTGAATTGCACTGGGCAGTCCTGGCTTGGCTGGCTTTGCTCCGTCTCAGGGGGCTCGCTCACGTGTCTGCAGTGAGCTGGTGGGTTGGCTGGGGCTGGCTGGTTTGCCATGACTTTATATGGGACGGGTGGGATGACTGGGGTCTCTCACCATTTGGTCTGTCACCCTCTAGTGGGTTAGCCAGGACATATTTACGTGGTGGCAGGAGGGTCGCAATAGTAGTAAGAGAATAAGCCACATTGTGCACATACTTTTAAAATCCTGTGTGCCAGGAAATTACAAATTCTCCCAAATTATAACATTAAAAGACAATCACTCTCTTACACTTAAAATATTTTTTTTTTTAAAGATGACCGGTAAGGGGATCTCAACCCTTGACTTGGTGTCATCAGCGCCACGCTCACCCAGTGAGCAAACCGGCCATCCCTATATGGGATCCGAACCCATGGCCTTGGTGTCATCAGCACCGCACTCTCCCGAGTGAGCCACGGGCCGGCCCTTTAAAACTTATTATTATATCTAATGCAAGCCACTGCACTGTAAACAAAGTTGCTTTATCTTATATCAACCTTAGAGCCTACAGACAATTTAGGGAACAGCTTGTTGACAAAGAGAATATCTCATTACATAGTGACATTTTTTCTTCCCCCCCAAAGGTCCAACCTACCCAGAAAAATAATTTTCAGATAAAAAACCTTTTAAGAAAACTGATCTGGACTTTATTAGTCTTAAGGATCTTCTTCCTAATCTAAGGGCGATCCTTTTAACTAGGCTTCCACCCTGGCCTTGGCCCTGCTAATTTCTTTTTCTTTTGGTGGCTGGCCAGTATGAGGATCCAAACCCTTGACCTTGGTGTTACAATACCATGCTCTAACCAATCAACAGGCCAGCCCTACTGATTTCAAAAGCAGGCAGGAAAAAGAGAATCAAAATATATTTTCTTTACCTTCAATTCTAGGCTTCCCACTGCATGCACTTTTTTCTTCCAGATGATGGTGATGGTGCCCCTTTCTCCTGGTAGTTACACAGGCCTAGGCCTTGTATGCAGGCAACGTGAAAAGAAAAGGGAAAGGCATACACATACAGAAGAAAAGGTGTCCAGAAGAATGAAAGGAAGGAAAGAGTGTTTGTGACAGTCCATTTCCACGGCAATCTCTTTATAACGTCCACTGAGAGTTCACCATCTAACCTGTATCCTATTTGTGTAATCCTGAGGACTACATTTTTTTCCTTAGTCCATATCAAAATGCATCTCACTAAAAAAGCTAAAGAAAGGCCGGCCCGTGGCTCACTCGGTAGAGTGAGGTGCTGATAACACCAAGGCCACGGGTTCCTTTTCTCTTTTTTTAATTAAATTTCTATTTCGAGATCATTGTAGACTCACACGCAGTTGTAAGAAATAATACAGAGAGATCCTGTGTACCCTTTATCCAGTTTTCTGCAGTGGTAACATCTTGTAAAACTGTAGTACAGCATGAAGATACTGACACTAATGTCAAGACACGGAATGTGTCCATCGTTGTAAGGACCCCCCATGACACCATTTAGAGCCATGCTCACTTTTATCCTGCCCCCAAGCTTTCCTTAACCCCTGGCAACCCCTAATCTGTTCTCCGTTTCTATAGTTTGGGTGGATTGGCTTTTTTCATTCAGCATAATTTCCTGGAGATTCATAGAGGATGTGCATACGTATCCATAGTTCATTCCTTTTTATTGCTGAGTAGTGTTCCCTGGTGTAGTTGGACCACAGTCTGTTTAACCACTCATCGCTGAAGGTTGTTTCCAGTTTGGGGCTATTACAAATAAAGCTCCTAGAAATGCTTGTGTGTGAGTTTGAGCGTGAATATAAAATTT